TCAACAAAATACTACATATTCAACAAAATTAAATGCTACAATTAGTTCCCATTTCAGTAAAATTCTGCTCTATATATGCCATGAAATCCGGAAATCTCTAATCTACAAGCTTCAATATTAATAAGGTAACTAATAACAAATGTTGCTCTTCCCAAAAATGAAGAAGCTACTAATGTTAATAAAGGTTTACTTCAGTCAAACAACCTAGAGAATAAAATGGAAAGCCTCAGCACGTCTGCTCTCTTTAGAATCCATCCCGTGAGACTTTGTAGATCAATCTATATAATCTTGAACAAACACTAAACTCAACTATGTAAAAGATGGTAAAAGATAGTCACAGGTCAGTTTCAATCTTAAGTTGGAAAATATATCTAAAACTAGAAAGAATGTTGAGCAAGTGATATAGACATGAGACATTGAAGAAACATACAACAAATTAAGAAAAGCAATCTAAATGATAATGAAAAGAAAAGAAAAAAAAAAAAAACTTGTTATTGCAGTCAAGATGAGGAATCAATTGTAGAGTAAAAAGATGGTTCAAGAATGGCGAAATTGGAAAAAGTTGTAAGTACCTGAAAATGTCAAGACAACCATATAAATTTCCAAAATAAAAATTTAGTACAAGATGAAAGTAAGAGATAAAATAAAACTCCTAGAAAGAAAGAATTTGTAGATTTCATTTGGGGCTTTCTAGGATTATATAAAAGGAATTTCTAAACACAAAAATCACCTAGACCAAGCAAGTGAAACTAGGACAAAATCAATGGAATACGGGTGCTAGATTGAGCAAAAACAGAATAAATGAGGCTCAAATGTTAGAATTTAGCCAAAATCTTGTTTCCTCATTCATTAGAGAAACCTAATTAAGCACCAGTATTCAACAATGCTAGTGTTTTAATTGTAAAAAGAAAAGATATGAGATAAGGAAAATCTTACCTGGATAGTCCATTATCCATTGCCTAGATCTCTACCTTATTCATATCATTATCAATAGATTGTTCTACCACTCTCTGGTTACCCCTTTTTTTGGTGCTTTAACAATTATAATGGCAAGGTAAATGCTGAGAACATCAAAATAATTTAAAAAATGATTGAGAAGCTAAGTAAGGATACTACAAAATAATGTTAATCACAACCAGTAGAAGCTTCAAATAGATCACAAAGAACAATTAAATTGCAACCATGATAAATGTTATAATCAAGCCATTTGATAACAGGTCCATAATATGATACAATATCCTACATATGGTACTTTTTCTAGAGTTGTATTTTTTTCATTCCTCAT